TCTACCCATCCATCCACTTCATTCTTAACTCTCTCCTTGTAGGCCCATCAGTTAGGACTGATGACTTCTCTCGTTCTGCAAGAAACATCTGCACATCATCCGCCGCGAACACCCCCAGGTACCTTAAAGTCAATCTTCAAGTGTCGACGCCCAATCTATCATGCTGCTTTTAATGTTCACACCCTACAGCAAGCAGCAAAACAAGCTGCTCTTGCTTGCACACTGAACTTGGTTGATATAAATGAATGTTGTGTAACAGAAAAAAGAATTCCAGGCACAAGCACAGTTGAGCTAACTGCCCCATCACGCTCCATCCTCTTCCGGTTGCGCACCCCTGGCTATCCATAGGCAGCTGTGACATCACGTGCAGAATTCTTGCTTCACTGGATACCCGACAGTAGTATTCTGTGTGAGGTTCATCAGGCAACGTCCGCGAGGAGCTCCCACATGTTGCTTGTTGCCTGTTTGTCGTGTCTAATCATTCCTCGAACGACTGAAGCTCTGACACCATCAAAGACGCCTTGGATGCCCTGTGATTGCGGGCTAAAAGCTCAAACATCGCTACGGTTGATGAAGGTCTAAATGGACAATTGGACGGGCTCAGAGCATCTGAGACTCAATTGGTCGACATGTCGCTACGGTTGATGAAGGTCTAAATGGACAATTGGACGGGCTCAGAGCATCTGAGACTCAATCAGGTGGTCGACATGGATTGAACTCTGCACGTGCAGACAATGGAGAACGAGTGCTTCAGCTAGGTGCAGACCACAAATTGTTCTATGCAGTGCTAATCTCTAAAATAAGCGAGGTTGCCTGAATACATGGTGATCTTCAACGGTGCGCCAGCTACGGGTCAGAATTGGCCGCCATCAATGCAGTGCTAATCTCTAAAATAAGCGAGGTTGCCTGAATACATGGTGATCTTCAACGGTGCGCCAGCTACGGGTCGGAATTGGTTGTACCGCCATAAATCACCAATGGTGCAAACCAATAACTAGCTGCCGCTCTTCTGGAATACATTTGTGGATCGCGACCATGCGTTCGTCCGAAATCGCTTCCCTCATCGCTTCCCAAGGTCGCGTAAGGTGTTGACAAATAGCTTAGCAACTCACACCGCTAGATCCCGCAGGTTTGACTAGCTTATCATAATCGTTTTCTGGACTCTTTTCCAAATGCTGGGATGTGAGTTCATGCTGGAATGATATTGAAAGATTTTTGCATAACGCAGGGAGTTGTCTGTGGTAGGATGCTACAGGGTGTGCTTAGGCAGAGGGAACAGTAACATCGCCTGAGTATGGAAGAAATGTTCCCGCGGTAACGATGAAAACCAATTTGTGTAAATTCTCATTCCACGACCAACGGCATTTTAGTCAGCCTGATAGCATATACGGATAAAACAGCGGCCTAGCTCTTCAAATTACTGCACTTCCCGGTCAAATTTCTTGTGGTGGTATTATGAGACCCTGGTATTCCGTCTGCTGCCGTTTGAGTTTCTTCCAATTCAGCAGGCCCCAACAGCCACCTTTCAGGCACTCATTTTCTTGGAAAACAAGTGCTGGGAAATCCATGAGTGAGATTATGCCAGGGGCCTCACTACACCGGGCAAGCCTCTTCATTCGCCTGTGTGTTGTCGCTCCCATGCAATCAGATTGCGGCACCATTTTTCATCCCCGAACCTCACCCAATTGGGGGAAATTGCTTTACGCCGCTCTGTACAGAACATATGAACAGCTACTCACAAAATGCTCCTCCGTGAAGACACTTTGTTATAACCCGCAATGGAGTTATTCTTGTGTCGATGCCCCATAGCGCCATCTGAGAAGTCTCCCATATTGTTTATGGATTTGAGGGTCCCGCGCTTGGTGCCACTAAGAAATCTTCAGGCGACTGGTCCCCTGTACGTGACGCCATTTCCTAGATCAGTTACAAGCGTTCTATAACTCCCGAGAATTTGAGCTCTATCAGACTACGATGCCCCTTTGTGCTCGGGGATACTTTTTCACACAAAGAATAGAGAAAATTCCCCCGAAGCATTCAACAATCGTACTCTGTAATAGGGGGTGTCGCAAGGTAAACGCGTTGAACAGTGGGGATTACGTGACCACGAAAACAAGGAGCAACTTTCAAAACGCCCGGGTTTCGAGTCAATGCTTTAGAACGCCGTAATATGCAACATTGGTGAGGACAGTTCAATAGACTTTGAACCAAAGTGAAATGGGTGGATTGATCCGAGATTTTGTCTGAAAGAGCCAGCTGCAGTTGGCAAACTAGCCGGCATAAACAGGAATGGGAGGTTGTTACCAGATCCACCTTTCTGATTTACGTCATATGGTTTCACTGATTCAGGGACTCACCGATCATCACACAGGACCGAGGCTTTCGCCCTAGCTTACCGGGTCGCGTTCGTTCTTGTTGTTCTTTGGCCTCCGTAAACCTGAAAGGCACGGGTGAAAAGGGGCGTAGCACTACGCTTTAGGTCCTCACCGTGGATCCATTATCTGATCGATATGAGGGTTCAGCGAAAAGACGGCTAACAGTGCATCGAATCGGGTATTAGTGTACTACGGATCGTGTGAGTCAGTTTACCTGTGCCTTGTTTCGTGAACTGAACCACCTGTTGGGATACAATCATTTAAAAACTACACCTTACCATCCTGCAGCCAACGGATTAGTCGAACGTTTTCATGGACAAACGCTACGTCTTCCCGCAAATATGTTATGTGCATCCGCATCCAATAAAGATATCTCACCATCGACATGCGACAGTCGACTGAAAGATCATATGCGTACTCTTCGCCCGTCTGACACTCAGAAATCCGGTCGATGCACACATTTGGACCCCGTTCATCTTCTTATTCACATTTATTTGTCCGTGTTGACAGCGTCAAACGACCCTTGCAATATCCGTATGATGGTCATTTCTAAAGTCATTTCTCGCGAGGACAAGTATTTTGTGATTGAGAGGAACGGAAAAGCGGACCCCGTCAGCATCGACAGGCTCAAAATTCCATTCATTGATGATGAATCTCACTTAGATCGCCCTACGGTAGTCACCTTAGCCACAAGTTCCCGAACCTCCAGTAGAGTCATCCCAGGGAACCCCGAACATATAGCTTGACGTAATGACGGGCACCCATTACCTATCCTGAAGCAAACAAGCGTTGTTCGAACCTGCAACACTCCTGTTCGCTTCGCAGACCACACCCCTTGAGTTTTTGTCACTTTATCGAGCGTCATTTCCTTTCATTATTCCTAACGCTCTGGGGGGGTACTGTAGTGTCCATAATCCGTTGTCACTTATCTACCATTTTTCCTTAACTTAAGCTGCATTTGTAACTGTCATACATATTCCAGGACATTTGTTTTAATGTTACCAATACGCAATTTTCCGGCGCGACTTGCTGAATTCTTGCGGAGCGAGTGTATTTTCGCTCCGTTGCACTGTTCGCTGACTACTGAACCAGTGGGACTAGATCTCTGTGTTTGCGTCAACTGTTGAACGTCACAATAAATCCCCGTGACAATTTTCAGCCGTGAACAACTTTTCTATCGCGGAATATATCACTCACACGTGAACCACACGTGGGAAACTTTTACGAGTGAACATTTCTTTCACAACAGGTTACTGCATTTGTATCGGTGTAGTGAACTTTTGGATCTACGCATTCGTGAGTCCTCATTCGACAACTCATTCTTCTCTTGTAATTTTGTGATTTCTTATTGGGTATTTGTTCGAGCACGCTGATAAGATCCTAGTTCGCTGCATAGTTTCTGCGTGAACAACATCGGTGGGAGGTAAGTCCACGCACTAAATGGCTGAAATGAGAAAAACTGTTGCCTAATAAAGATGTGCTCTCTGAGCCTGAAAACCCCTCTGTCATGTTCCTACCGCTTGTTATTTGGGCCAACAGTGAAAAACGCGTAAGCCAGACCTTGTTCATAAATAAGTATTAGGTATCCTCCAAGGCGACTCTACTCCAGAGGAAAGGTCAAGAACCGCCAGATGCGTTTTATAATCGATGAACTTAAGGCCGGAAGCTATTCTCGAACCAGTTCGCTGTACGTGCTCACCAGAGACTCAATGAGCACCATTCTCAACATGCACCACAAAGGCGTTCGCTGAGTTTTCTCCAAATGAAATTCGACGCATTTTTCGTCATTCCGAGAAAGATGGCAGTGCAATGACCACGGCTTCGCGGCCTTAACATCCATATAGAGGGTGCTGGCGTTCGAACTCCAAGATGTCATCTGCAAAAATATACATGGACTTGAAATATCGTTGACGTAGAACGGAAACAGAGGGAGGTGTCAAAACAGGGCATTGAGAACTCCACTGGAGACCGGTGCCGAAGATGTGTATGTCAAGTCTAGTTTCAGTCAGAATGTTCTATCTGAGTCAGCGTAGAACTTTTTACTTAAGTACATAAAAGCTGATCTTATGTGGCGACGAGACGTATGAGACTCAACTGAATGCTTTTAATAAGTCGACAAATATGGTATCCAAAATCAGTCTCCCGTCCTTAGCTTGCGTTGAGTTGTCCATAAATGCGAACGCGTTCGTCGCGCAAGAGCGTGTTGCACTGAAGATATCAACTTGTTGGTACTGATTTAGGTTTAGGATAGCCCGCTTTCGAACGCGTTCCTTCGCCTTGCACGTCGTGCTAGTGGGGCTAATAGACCTATAACTGCTGGACAACGGGCCGTCACCAGTTTTGTAGATTGGCGGGGTAACCGCTTCCTTCCAGGCAGAGGGAAGCTAGGGGAACTGACGAAACACTAGATAAAATGTTTTAGCAGTGTGAGCGACGTTTCATTTAGGGTCCTTGGATGAACCTCGTCTTTCCCCAACGTACAGAACGCTTTTCTTTTGCAAGAGTTGACGAACGTTCTCCTCTGTGAAGGGCAAGCTTTTTTGAGAGGCTGTTCTCGACAAGATAAGGTGTGGCGAGGCAGAATGCAGGCCTGCATAGCCTCTGCGCCTAAGTGTGCACTCTTTTTAGGACGTACGTCAGGCTTCTGAGAAATTGTCCTGTAGACCCCTTCAACTGAAACTGATTCCAGTCTAAATTTCCGAGGGAAGCTACGAATTTCTAGGATGTCTGGGCAGCATGAGTTTCGAACCCAAGTTTGAGGCTACGGATTTCTGTGTCAGTGGCAGATGAAATAAAAGGTCAGCACACAGTGCTCACTGTGACCCAGTGAAGCTCTAATTAACACTTGATCGACCAAATGTCCTTCGTTGGTGATTAATAAATTCAGCATGGAGAGTAGTTGGCCCGCATGCTTCTTGGTTATTTAAATGACATGTTGGATCCAAGCGTTCTACCGGTCAATGATGATGCGAGGTGTCCACTGGACCTGATGTGCTGCAATTCCATCCAACATTGAGAGAAAAATGGTATCCAGCGTTAAAAGACAACGCCGCATATAAGATTCAGTACGGGCATAGTCACAATTGCTGCGCCCGATAAGAGGGAGGGGAGCTTTATACCATATCAAAATAATTAGTAATCATCACCTCTCGGTAGTGATGTGCCATATTGCCTGAATTAGGTGCCACTATTCATTTGTTGACATGAGAACAGATGAGATGCTATGGTTCGGTTCAAACAATGAATTTTTCAGTGAAGAGGTTCGCACGTTAGCTGCCATTATATTCCGAGCTACCACATTGACACAAGGTCATTGTCAAGTAAAACAGTGGATTTTCGCTTGCCTCCGTGCAATAAGACCAGGAAAGAAAGATGCTAACACAAGAACACGACAGAGCGTAAAGTAACATAAGCAAAACACTCTGCAGAAGAAGCAAGAACTACGAAACTCAGGGAGGCACAGAGATCCAGAGGGTAAACTTCTGGAGAATTCAAAGGAGTTCGCGTGCAGCGATCGAAACCGTTCAACTGAAATAACCCCCAATCAAAATATCAGAGGACCAAAATAGGTAGAGAAAGGCATCTGATAAACCGACTAAACGCAGAAACCAAGCGCTAATGAAAAGATTAGAAATCAAAAAGAACGCGTGAAAAGGGGAACAAGAGATTAGAAGGCACCGGAGGGAATTGTCAGATTGAAGAAGAGAGGACAACAAATTAACTTACAGATTGCTCAGTGTTCAATTGGAAACAGGACAAAACGAACCTGTCTACCAGGCCAATTGGATGCAATTAAAGCGGATCACAACGCAATACGAATAACACAAGAGCCAATGGCATTACGATAGGGCTGTTCCTCAACCTGACAGACTCCGTCAAACTATAGTTTAAGATCGATTTTTAATACCGGTGTTTTGAATGCCTATGTTGGTAAAACAGACACTTGACTCGTGGGCAAATCTCCATAGCACACTGGGCTTCACTCTGACGTCTGGAGAACTATCCAGTCGAATAAACTTTGATATATTCTCTAAGAATTAATGAAAACTCGAATAATAGAACCCCTTTACATTTGGAAGTAGGTCTCCATCAGCCGACGACAACGACGTTGATAATAATTTCGACCAATGACCAGAATTCCGAAGTACCGGCAAAGTCTCCCAATGAGCTGTCCTCAATGCGTATCTTTTCACCAGCTACATGAACCCCCTGCCACCTGTTTGTTTTTTGTAGATGGCTTCAGTGTGCTGAGGATGTTGCAAAGCCATCAAGAGAACCTGAAGTTACAAGTAAACTAATGTGGGCTTGTGCAATGGAGTGAAGCATGCATACTACTCATCAGTGCCAATGAATTTAGATTAATGTTACTTTATTCAAGAAGTGAAACAGAGACGCACAGTATGGGAGGTGAGTCTATATTCCTGATGCAAGCCAGGTGTGACACTGGATCACTCTCACATCACAATCGCAAGATCTACACCCACATGGCACCACACAAGTTAACGATCTCCGGGTTCACTGGTTGTCCGCACTCGATGTGCTTAACTTTCACTTCTAAAGGCTAAACGTTTCTCCGAGTACCAGTGAATGATTTCAGTATGGTCACCCATTCTACCAACTACCAAAATGGATACAGAGATACCTGTAAACCGGAACACCTAGGACTGGGATGTGCTTAGGTTGAGTCTAGTGGGCACGTAACAAGCGGATGCCGAAAGAGAATGCAGGTTTCTCCTTGGTAGTTCGATAGTGCATGGGGCACAATCAAATTTTACGACTAAATCAAGCGAATTAATGCGTCATTTTCCAGTATCACAAATGATAATCCTAAATACCAGACTTTTCGGTTCATTATCGAAGGACGGGACAATCAACCTAGATACAAAATTTTGTCACTTTGTCACACCTGCATTTTCGACCACTATGAACCAGTCACCTACAGTATCCCATCACTCTTCCTTTGATTTATGAAGTTCTTGCCCAAATAGTTACTGTAGGGTCATTTCTGTCACAGTTTTCAGCGCAGCCTCAGGTAAATATCCAGATTTATTTCTTCCCACGCATGTGCTTTTTCTCTGTTGAGCGCACCCACGTTCACTGTGGTCTGCTGCTTCTCATGTGCCAACAAAGCGAAATGAGGCCACTGACACCCGTGTGGGGAACGTTGGAACAAGCCTCAGTACCGCTTATCTATCACTGATTTTTTTTAATTTTTTCCTGTCAATAAAATCACCACACTTGACAAATTCAGATCATTTTTCCACAACTGACGCACGTGCTCACCGGCGTTTCTCACTGTATGGGACAAATTTCTGGAAATAAAGGACTGATGGTCACGTCTACGTGTACGTACTCTTGGGGCGACCACGGCTGAAGCAAAACTTTTAAGGGATGCAGTGGGTCAAAACAACTCAATTTTTTCATAAACAAGCACGTTGAAATTCAAGCCAATGAACAACGTTGGCAACGGACCTTTGGTGAACATGGCGCTAAGAACGGCGGTGGGACGCGCATGGATATTTCAAGCCGCGTGTCTTCTAACCACGAAGTAACAGTCAAAAACGAAGGGAGGATAGGTAAAAGGACGTCTTCTCATCAGAGTGAAACGGCATTTTGTGAACAACACAGTAGACCAAGTAATTTTTCCGTGAAAACTGACGTTTGTCCTAAACACTGAAAGTAGTAGCGGAGACGCGCGTGCATTCACAATTTATGGCATATAAGCACATAATATCGTTCAGTTTAGTTGACGAAGGGCTGATTTTGAACGCAGGTATTGAATGAAAAAAAACACTGGATGTTTAAAGCCAAACATCACTAAATGATGGTGCGATATTTGCTTATATCAGTCGGAAACACTGTAATTAAGGTGACTTGTTAGACAATACACGGGAGAATTCAAATGCTTTGCATGCGAGACTCCTGTTTTCCAAGCCAAGATTTTACTATCGATAAGTTCATTGTGGTGTTTAATATTTCAGTTGTGCGGAACTAGTCGAATTTGATACGTGAAAGCTTAGTTGGCACACGCGAATGAGTGAGTTATCAGGGAAACCAGAAATACGATGAACGGTGACTAGAAAACGAATATTCAGATAAATGAAAAAGCAGGTGATCTACCCAAACGTGACATGTTGGGTGTGTCCGGCGTGCACTGCTGAATTACTTGCATGACAAGGCCGACATCACAAGTCCGAATTATGTGAACTGCAGGTGAGCTGTAGTAAAACTGAGACCAAAAGTTCAGTATTTCCCCCTTCCAGTGAAAATTAACAGAGGTACCTGTGTCAGCGATCAAACAAGATTAATGTGCGTGCAACCACTACAAATCCCACCGCTCTTGTGAAAGCCGGTGAGCAGTTCGTTAAAACACGTCTCGAGCTCTAACGTGCGCGGATAGATGGATCGGAACACCATAGAAACAAGATAAATGTTCACGGACACTCAGATACAATCCAACAACCTAATGAGTCATTTGAGTGGGAAAATAAAATTGAATCTGAAATTCACGACCTCATTTATACTCGTTGGACTCTTACGATGTTCTTTGAGCGTTGCAGTTTTGTTGCCACTGACTAATATATATGGATACATAAATCCTACCTTTTAAAACATTGGTCAGTTTCAAGACGGAACAACAGGACGGTTGCACATCTGAATTTGTGGCCTTAGAGTCTGAAAAAGCTGAAGTTTTGCAAACAAGTCTTGACGTTAACGCCATCTCACTGTTACATCCACCATCGGTCGCTATGGGATCGGTCAATCGTTAGTGTGCTTTCGCTAATATCCCTGGTGTTTGACGTAGATAGAACCAGGATTATATTCAGATGTCATGGCAGCCGTACACAACAAAAAATTTCGTCTTTCGACGGAATTATTCTTTAGAATTTCAGATTTCACCAAACCGCAAGGCCCCGTAATAATAGGCTTATCTTAAGCCCATGTTCGAGAGGGAATTAGATGCTGCGTTTTGCTAGTAAACTTGTAATGAATGCACCCCAGCACCTATAGATCGGTTGAGGGTGGTCTGTCATTGACGTGATAATATTCTTGCGCATAACCTTAAACGTTTGGAGGAGAGAATGTTGCATCAGAAAATGAATTTCCGGAGTCCAAGTGTCCATCAAATAAAAGACTATCGTGATAAAACCAGAGTACGGCAGAGGCACAAACTATGTCCCAAAAGAGTATCACACAGTTCAGTAAATTTTGAGACGCGTAAATGGACGATGAAATAAGCTTCTAAAGCATGGACAGTAAACGGGATACCTTGGCCATCAAAGCGGCATGGATCTTTTGAATATATAACTTGCAACAAAACATCTTGCCTTTATTTTTCTTCTCTCGTGAAAAGCAGGACCGAACGATTGATACAGATAGCATGAGAACAGTAAAAGCGGCCACAGTCGACGAGGTTTGAAATGTGCTAACCTGCTGTGTAGGTTGATGGCAGCTGTTTACTCGAAAAGGGTAGTTTGGCTTTGTGAGCCCATGCAATGACGTACCTTCTTACGTATTTAACCGTTATAGATTACCTTGCTAGCACTTTCAAACTCAGAATTCGGGATTCACTATCATGGTGCTACCGGAAAGTAGAATAATGCTCAACTGCGCTACATAATGCGACTACTGCTGTCTTGCATCAGTCAAGGGGACCTTTTTATTCGTCCTTCTGCTTAAGGCCAAAGGAGAAA